TAAGTCAGAATGAGGTGAATTCAATTTGAGAATGCAAGTCTGTATACCTAAACAGACTTGTATAGGTCTGAACCAAATGTATAGGTTCAGGTGAAGATCAGATGTCAAAACATGGTATGTTAAACAAGGACATGTAAGAAAGTCATTCTAAAAGGTTGATTTAAAATGATAAATCAAATTTTTCTGAGAAAAAAAAATCTAATTTGTCCTTTCTGTAAGGCTGGACCCTCCAAGCAAATGTCACCTCCAGAAAAATACGATTTTTCTCCTTTTGGTCATCAGACTGTTCCCTAAATTAGGTGAAGATCATAAACCTTATATTATAAAGAAAAGAATGCAACTCTACTAGGGTGCAATCATTTCACTACTTTATGAGCAAATGCCATGTTTTAAGCATGTGACTGCAAGTTTCCCTAGGCATGACCCCAGCCCCTGAATGCTTTGTGCTTCTCTCTAGGGGAAGGTATGAGATAGCAATAGTGCAGCCAGCTTCGTGCTCATCCTGTTCTTCCTGCTAGAGGCTGAACTATCGTCTCTCCCCTGCAGCAAGAGATGGACCCAGTGCCTTTTGCACCTTTATGATGTAAATTAGAGTTTTATATATGACAATTTCAAAATATTTCAACACATCTATTCCTTCAACAAATGTTTACATAGTCAAGCATGACTCTACACAAAGAGAAATATGATTTATATGTCCATGATTTGGCTAAAATTTTATCTTACTAATTTTAACTCTGACAAAACTCATCTATCATTATATACTCATGAAGTTTTCATTCATTTTTTTTTTTTTTTTTTTTACTACAAAAGCAACCAGCTGCATGCAGACTTCTGATAGATCCTCGTCATAATGTTTCCATATATCTGCGACGGCTAATTTAATTTTCTTCTTTCTCCTTCTCAGTTGTAGATTTAATTTTCATGATAGTCATTTATTAGTTCCATTTTATTTTCCCTTTCTTTTGGTTAAGAAAATAACATTTGCATTAGGAAAATGTTACTTAATAAAAACGGGGATAGTACTTCTGAGATTTAAGTCAATACTGTTACTCAGCCACTAGGCTATGCTCAAGGATAGTCCATTTGTGCAAGAACACTTCTGTCTTTCAGTCACTCAAAAAAGCAGAAAAATAAATTCAAAAGCTGGATATGAATTATGTAACCATTCAAAATCTAGATGGTAATTTATTTAGCAGATTTAAGTGTGTTTGTTTATATAATTAGTTTATATGACAGACTCCAAAAGAATAAATGAACCCATTTTTTTTTTTTACCAAATATATGTCATGTGGTAATGTCCCGTTTGGTTTTAAAAGAGTGAAATCATCATTATGTTTATTTTATCCAAATTAAACATCTACTTTCACCTGTATGTAGTCAATCATATTTAAAAAAAACTAATGTATAGTTATGGTCTGATCATTATTAGAAACACGAGTTTTAGATCAGATATGTTTTTCTTTCTGCTTCAAAAAATAGGTCATTTTAAAATGCAACAGTTGAGAACCAAACACATTTATTTTAGGTATTTTTCACATTAAAATTATACTCTATCCCCTATAAACTGTGTTTAGAACCCTTTATGTTTCAAATTACGAATGCAGCTTACTGTCATTCTTATTACTTTTTCCTTAAAACTCTAAGGAGCACACTATCATCATCTTCATCATCATTATTCATATTAATATCTATCTTGATTACACCCTGGGGGAGGCACTGGGGTGGGTCAAAGAAACTCACAGTGTAGCGGGGAACACATAAATTATAGATAACATTGATAAAATGTATCTATTTAGGGACAATATAGGGACCATACAGAAGTGATAAAAAATAGAATACGTGTTAAAATAGTTCACGTAAGAGAGATCCACTTGTTGCCCACATTGCTAAAACAGAGAATGGGTTTTGATGACTCAAGTCCCAAAGGATTCAAAGTCTAGTTCTGAAAAGTGCTCTGAAGATAAAAATCCATAACTCTCCATTTTATTGTTTAATCCACTTGACAATTCTATCTGTAAGAGAAATTTACCATATTTTGAAGATAATCTTTTTTTAACTGAACTTGTCTCTTTTTCAATTATTCATTAGTCATGTGTTAATTATTCATTGTAGGATGAATTATTGACAGAACGCAATCCAGCCCCAAAGCAAAATGCTATTAATCTGCTCTTCCTGTTATATTATTGCTTTGGCATATGACAGAACACTTTGAATAAAAAGGTTAGTTGGCTTTTTCTTCTTAAATGTAATTAAGTTCAGTAAAATCCAATTACGAGACACTTGAGAAAAAGATGAATACAGTAGTATGATGTGGGTCAAGTCATGCTTTCCCATATACATGTATACACAGGAGTGATATTCAAAATATTTAAAACTATTATCACAGAGGCACTGAGAAACCCGGACAGGTGCTTGTGGTCAAGCTCCTCTACCATCCCCGCCCGCAGGGATAAACTGCTGTCACAGCAATGCCGAAAACTTTAAATTCTGATGGATCATTATTATTACATCCAATATTGGTGTTAAATAGTTTTTACTGAGTCACTATTATGAAATATAATATTCTTAACTTAATTATGCTACATAACACACCAACTAGCAGAATAGCATCACATATTTTCAGTTCTAGAATTTCTTCCATTTACATACCATAAACTGCAGAGGTTCCTAAATGTCTGGAAATGCCTGTTAATATCTTTTAGTAATGGTAGATAACTGATGTGACTGTGATCTGAATCCAAGGTGAGTTCTTGATTTTCACAGATTAAATTGAGAGACTATGATATATTCTCCCTAGTAATCCCCTTCACCTGTAGTCCTGTAGTCTTTGGCAGAAGTCAACTCCAGAGCCCTTCTGGGGGTCCTGATTTAGACAAACGGCTCTAAGATGTGATACAAACTAATTCTTTTTCAGTGCAAAGGAGTGATAAAAAAGAAAAAAAAAAAATCAAGTCTTGGAAGAAGGCTGGATTATCCCACCTGCCCTGGAGCATTCCAAAGAAAGAAATTGCCAAGGATTAGAGCAGGGCTTTCTACAGAAGCTAAAGGCTGCAGAACTTGACAAGAGCCCAACTTCATGTTCAATCTTGGTTCTTGGGACAATCTGAAGGCCCTGGGGGTATTCACGATGGTGCTGGCCGTGTGTAAATTAAAGGTTACCTTGACATAATAATACCTTGGTTCCCATTTCTTGCTGTGTCATTCATCAAAAGAAAGATACCAAGTTACCAAATAGTACAGAAATAAGTGCACTGCCTGGAACATATCGTGTTCTTTTATGTCTAACTCTAGGCTCTAATAGTCTCTAGGGACTAGTAGACTAGTCTCTATGCACTTTAGAGCAGCAGTACTCTAACTCTCCAGTCTGAAAGCACTCTATTCCAGCTGAACTGAACTTGTCATCATTGGCTAAAAGCCCCTCCAGAACTCCTGCCCATGTACAAGCTATGTCCTGTGACTGGGATGTCCTTCCTTCCCACTCTTCACTTGCTGGATTCATACTTCAAGTTGCATCTAAAAAGTCAGGTTTCTTGTGAGACGTTCAGAACTGACTCCAGCTAGGACCAGGCATTATTGCCATCAGTTCCCATTCCTCTCTTATAGCACTTATCACTATTATAACTATTTGTATACAGGCCTGAATCCCTGACCAGCCAGTTCCTTTAGGCCTAGGGATGGTATCTCACTAAGGTCTGCTCTGGTTGGAACAGAGTACTCAATATATGTCTCCTGCATAAATCAACAGTGAGCAGGTAGATGGATGAATGAAAGAAAAACGCCAGATATTAAATCCCAGGAACTCTATCAGCATTGTGAGCTGAGTCATAGTTGGACTTTACTTTGCATTACCACATTAAAGATGCCATAATGTGGGCTACCCAAATTACACTTCCCTTTTCTAAGAGCCCACTCTCTGAGATGTTTGCCCCCTCAGAAAGACTAATTCTCACACTGCATCCACTGCCCAACCAAACCACAGAAGCAATACAGTCCTTAGTCCCATCCCAACTGTAGTATAGATATTTGGGCTGTCCTCTGCTCAGAGTCTAACTTTGCTTTCCCTGAGGATCATCTAAAGAATCCTTATCCTGTTGACTCATCAGTTAACTCTGCCATAATGCTGGTGATTTGCCTCCAAAGCCAGCAGATGCCTCTCTGTACAGAAATGCATTCTCTTAGATTGTTACATTTGTTGTTGCAGGGTGAGCTACTTTAGCAACTGCTTCCCTCCATAGTAAGAAAAATAATCATATTCTTTCCTAATGGCTAACAACCCTATGCTGGGCTCTGGCTGTAGTGAGTCCTTAAGTGTTAACGTTAATCTGAGAAAGACCTAGGTTTTTATAGGTTTTAGTAAACTCATTTGATTATATTCAAGAGTTCAGACTTGTTCTTCCCTTACCAGCTACAATGGAAAAAGAACCTTGGCAGAGACGAAAGTTGACTGACCCATGGCAATCCCCGGGAGGTAGCCCATGTACTTCTGGCTTACCTGCCAGCATCAGTTTCCTCCAATATTGATTTACTTTTCACTCACACATTGGATGACCACTCATATCCTTCCTGTCAAAACTTGTACAGCTTCTTAGTTATATCTGAACCAATGTTCAGTTTTAATATACTCTGTGTAAGTTTAACCATTTCTAGGGACCTGAATGCTAGGTTTGTTTCAACTATTACGGTATTTTGAAAAATATTTCTTAGACGTTATCTCCATATATCACTGTTCTTTGTCAATATAAGTGATGTGTAATACCAATGCAATCAAGTACCAATATTACGTTAGCATGCAAACAGTTATTTTAACTAAATATCCATGTATTTAGCTATAAATATATCTTTGACTTCAAAAATTGAGTTAACCTATGTATGTCATTTTTTGAGAAAACTCCACGTGAAAGCCTGATATACTGGCTCTCCCATTAAACAGACAAAAATGATACACTGAAATAAAATCCAGTAATTCAGGAGAAAAACATCTCCAAATGCACACTCACCCACTATGTTTCATATGCGGTGGCTTATCCATTCGCACTGCCAATTTGATTTTTAAGTCCGAGTCCTGGCTATTTTTTGGAACTAGCATTCTGTGCAACTCAGCAGACTTGGAGCTATTAGAAGTTGGATATAATATTACCTGTAAGGGACAAAAAAGAAAGCATTTAAGTGCCCAATACAGAGTGCCTAAGAATTGGAACTGAAATCTTTTCTATACATTTCCTGTTTGAAAAGAAGGTGTCATGCCCAAATGTGTCTAATAAACCATTTGACTCCCACCACAGCAGATGGGTTTTCAATACAGACTCATTTATTTTTTTGACAAATATGTGTTTTCATATTATCACATAATGAGTTTTCTTCCTGTGTCACTTCATAACGAATTAATAGCACAACAGCTACTGTTAAATTGACAGTTAAAAAATACTTAATAGACACCTATAATTTCAAGATTACTCTAAACTCCTCAGGGAAAAGAAGTTGAGAAAGAAATATTCTTTGAAATCACAGACGGCATGCTTAAAAAGTAAAACCAATTATTTGAAGTAGCAAAAATATACCTTGTTTTAATAATTTCATTGCAAAATATTATTAAAGGAAATCAATTCAATTAGAGATGTAAAAGACTGATCACAGCACATTATCTGCTCTAGATCAATACCAAAGAAGAATTTTTTCCTGACTGCATTTTCAAAACTATATAGATGATACTATAATGACTGAAACAAAGTCATTATTTTTAATAAAACTGCCAAATCATCAAGTGATTATTTCACAACATTACAGCTCCACAAAGGCAACACAGGAAAGAAAAGCCTATTCTTCAGATGTTAGGTGCCATATAGATAAAATGATGTATTTTCCACATTTTAGTCAGTCACGAAACTATTTAGACAAAGCCTATATCCAAGTCTTAATTGATATTTTAAAATGGGAGCACTATATTCTGAAAGACAAAATAAAGATAGGAAACACAGTGCATTATATTTTAAGCCATTCTTATTTAAACCAACGTGAAAATAAACCTGAAATTTAGATGTAAATGGAAAAATTATAAATATGCCTAGGTATTCTAAAATGTTTTTAAAACATAACATGGCAACTGAATTTGGCACGCTCTGCCCTCCACCCCCGAAAACCTTCATCTCCCTGTATAAGTAGAAATATTCACTGAGAAATTTTCAAGGCTCTTTCTCTCTCTAGGAAAGACAACATAGTCATAAGAGCTTCTCAAACAATTCTGAACTTCCAAGTTTTAAATGTATCTACTATTTTGAGACTTTTCTCAAGCCTTTACTAAAGGCCATAGCTAAGCTGAGTCCAGCATATCTATACACTTATGCATATAAAGGCATATCCAGGACAGAATAAATGGCATTGTGATATTTTCAAAACTTACAGTCATATTCTAGAATTAGTTACTTTTGACTACTAAAACATCCAATGGAGTGTTTTACAGAATTGTTCTTAAATGACAGTAAAGAAAAATAAGTTGGTAATTTTTGATTCAAACCAGTAGACAAAAGAATGTCATTATCAACTTAGGTGATTCCAAAAAAGAGAATCAAAGACTAAGAGAAAGCTATACATCCTCTGTAGCTATAGCTGCCACTTCCTTAGCAAGTCTGGAAAGCTCTTTCTTCTTCCCTTCCTCCCTTCCTTCCTTCCTCCCTTCCTTCCTTCCTCTCTCTCTCCCTTCCTCCCTCCCTCCCTTCCTTTCTTTCTCGGTACCCCATCTCTTTCTTTTAATTTATTGTGGCATGAGCCACTCAAAGACTTTATTCCTTTTTAATTCTTCCTTCTACGTTTATACAAAAGTTGGTAATCCTGAAAGTCTTAAACAGGAAGAGAATATGAAAATTAAAACTTTTGACAATTTCTCATTCTCTAAATGCCAATGATGGGTTACTAAAATGAGGTCCCAAAGTAACTAATTGCAGCTGATCCACAAATTAAGGATCATCCCAGTATTGAATACCATCATTTCTGCTAACTTTTAGTTTTCTGATCAGTACATGTAACTGAAGTCAGTGGAAAGATTGACTGCCTATCTCTGTTCAATTAAACAAACATGTGAGTGCTTGTGGGGACACACAAAGGTGACAGAATATGGATGGCTCAGATCCCTCAAGGAGCTTGCAGTCTCTTATTATACGAGCTCTTAGCTCTGCTAATATGTGATAATATCACTTCTCCCTATTGCTCTTCTATCCCTAGACTGTGCAGCAATTTTCTGATTTTTTTAGTCCCTGAGTTTATTCTCCATCATCTGTTTGGCTGCTCTGTTGAATCACATGGATAGCTAATTCCCTGTGCTAAATTTCCTCCATTTGAAAGATCTGGAATTGTCTCTGTTTTTCTGGACAGAGTCTGACTGAGAAAGGTGTGAACACTGGCACATGTAACAAATGGCAGGCCTATAGATATGAAATCCACTGCATTTCTAAAAGAACTGTATTGGCAAAGAAACTCTGAACTTAGTCTTAAAAATGGCCTGTAAAATCATTTCCAAGTTCTCAAACTGCACAAGGAGCAAGTGTTCATACTCCTTTACATGATTTAGCCATGGATGATAACAGACAAGGAAGAAGCTCTCAATGTGGAGAGCCCAAAGGGCCAGCGAGAATAGGGACAAAGATGTTCTTTTCAGATACACAATAAGGGTCTAATCAAGAGGCCTTAAACATTGCCAGGGCAGGGTGTCTTCACAGTGCCTGCCACGGCAGGATTTCATTATTGTCATTGGACAATTACTGCTATGTTATTTCCCACTTTGCCTTTTTCAAATGGGAAACTTCATAGTAGCTCTCCTGCCCCCGCTCCACCACTGTGTATTGGACTTGTGCTATGGCAGGGTGGGGAGGGCAGGTGGAGCAGTAGGCAGTTTACATCAACTTTAGTTCATAGGTCATCAGGCTGAAAAGAGCCATAGCTGGACCTGACAGAGATGTTGGACGTTGGATTGGATGTAAGGACAGAATGAGACTTTGGGTTGTTTCCCTTGAGTTGAATTGAATGTGTTATGTGTAGGAGGAAAGGTAACACAACTGTTGTTACCCTTGGCCAGAGGGGTGAACTACGGCAGATTATCTAACTGTCCACCAAGATTCATGCTTTCACTAGTATAGAACTGTTGCTAGGAAGCAGCTAGTCAACCCAGGACTATATTTTCTAGCTCCCATTGCATCTAAGTAGGGACATATGAAAGTCCCAGTTAATAGAATACGAGTGAGGTGATAAGTGTCACTTTGGGGAAAGATGATTAAGATATAGGTGTGCCTCCTTCATCCCTCTTTACGCATCTGCCAGCCAAATGCAGAGAATTCTAATGCTGTCGGAAATGAGAGAGCCACAAAATGGAAGAAACTAGAGCCCTGAATCACCATGCAGAGGAAAGCTACCCATTTGTCAGGAACACCCAGAGTAAACTGTCATAGGGGTGCTATTGTTTTGAACTACTGAAATGCTATCACTTGTTTATTACAGGATTTAGTAGTACCCTAACTGGTACATTAACAAAGTGTTTTGCTTCATAAATCTTTCACAAATAAGTGCTTAAAGAATTTTTTTCAGGATAAGCAGTTCCACTTCAACAGGATTTAGCTCATGTTCAGAGAGGTGTGTCTGATGTTGATGGTACAGGAATTAAAATACTTAACAGATATAAAAATTTACTAAGGATTCTTCTGTATTCTAGGTTCACATCTAAATTAAATTACAGCTCTGTACAAAATAGCTAGCTTCTCACATTATCTAGCAAAGTATTTTGTTCTTTGCTATTTATTTCTCTTAACCTTTCTATACACATTTCTGCTTCGTCTAGTTTATTTTTGTCACTAACACTTTAAATGTCTTGTCACTTAGCATGACACAACACATTTTATGATTTCTTATCTTATATATAAAGTCAATGTGTCTTCTTCATAATAAAATGTCAACATTACTTGCCATCTTTGCTAAGGTGTAATGAAAAACACAAAAAGATTTTTTAGGCTATGTTTAAAGTTCTGTCAAATTTAATATACAGGAAGGAAAAAAACTTTAAGTGTAACATATAACATTTAGAGTAATATGAGGTCAGAAGGATCTTTCTCTTAAAATATACCTGTACAAGCTGGCACCTCTAAATTCTTTTCCTTCTATTAAGATACCTTAAAGCCCAGCCACATGCATTTGTGCATCTATCACATTAGTTGAACTTTGTGACCTATGAATTTATAACTCTCTATATTTCTAAACTCTATTTTAATAAAGACTTAAAAAACTAGGAGGAAAATATATAGGAGAACTGAGGGGAGGCTAGATAGGCTCTGAGGCTGGGAAACAACTCACTGCCTTTTTCCATAAGTAGCTCTTAGCCTCAAGGAAGAAAAAAGGCCACATGACCATAATAATTGCCCTGTAGCCCTATAGTAAAATTATAGATACATATATTTGGTACAATTCTAGCTCAAAGCTGGGTGCAATCAGCAATTCTTAAAGGAATCAGGACAGACTTCATAGGGGAATTAGTGCTCCATTTGGGAGTCTAAAAGAACACATAAGATTTACAAGGCAAAGACATGGGGAACGGACTGAAAGATAAAGACATGAGGCTCCTGGAACTGAACCACCCCAACAGTGGCACCCTAGAAAAAGGCTCACAATTCTGATGTTGATATTCTTATCGCTACCTTTGGTTCTCAAGCCCTTCCTCAAGCTTGATTGTTCAGCTCTTTGTTCTCTGGATATCCTCAGTTCCCATTGCTTATACCAAAAGAACTTCAACCAATACTAATGCTCATTACATTTTCTGCCATGTCACTTCTCTATTTCATCAAAAGCTAAGGAGAATACCCTGTGGACACTCACTTTTAAGGGTTAGAAAAAGAAAGAGAACTCTATAATTGAGACTGGAGGCCAAGGAGACAGAAGAAAAACCAGAGGGTGTGATGCACGACATTTAAGGCGGGGAGTGTTCCAGGAAGTAGGAAGGAGCCATCAGTGCCAAATGACAATGGAGGGGTCAAGAATGGTAAGGACAGAAAGCTTACTGCTTGGTTGAACAACAGAGAAGTCACTCGAGATCTCAGCCAGAGAAAGTTGAGGCGAGGCCAGACTGTGATGGTTTGAGGGACAAAATCTACTTGAGGAATGAGA